AAATTTTATATAAATATAGTATATAAAATTATATGTAAATAGATCCTTTCTTATTAAGAATATGATTTTTATTATTAATTAAGACTACTACTTTTTAAAAGTTTTTAATTAAAATATAATTTTTATAATTTTTTTAAAAAAAATTAAATAGATGTATAAGATCATATCTTTAGTTAATTTTTTAAAAAAAAATAAGTTTAATTAAGAAAAATAAAAAAGGTAAAATCCTAAATAAAAAAAGGGAAAAAATTCAAACCAAAAAAAAAAAAAAAAACAAAAAAAAAACAAAACCTTAAAGGTGGTTTGGTTTAAAAATTAAAATTATGTCGAATTATAAAATTAAAATCTCACTTCAATGAGATGATTCAATAATTAAAAATTTAAAATTTCAAGTTAGAAATCTCAAATTCGAATCTCAAATCAAATGAAGAGAAATTTAAGAATATGGGAGAACTATTCATTTTTTATAATTTATAATCAGATATACTAAAATTAAAATTAAAATCTCTTCTATTGAGGGAGCATAACTTAATTTTAGAAAGTCCTCTCAATTCAAAAATCATTATTTTACAACTCAATATAATTTAGACTATAAAATAATTTTTTGTATCTTTAATTAAATTTTTTTTTAAAGTCACCTTCTTATTTCTACCAAATCTCAAGAAAAAAAAAAAGAGTTAACAATATCTTGAGTAGCCACCATTCGCTGACTTTTAATTTGGTAGTTGATCCTAACTCCTTCCCATAACCATGTCAACTTTCAAATGTTTAGAGTCTAACCTAAACCTTGGAATAATTAACAGTACCAGAAGGAAACCTAAACCTTAGAACCATTTCAACTTCTGCCTACGGCCAGAAGGTGACATTAGTGTGAAGAATTTAGAACATGACAACGTTAGGATGTATGGGATTGTTCAATGTTTGTTAATGTTGAAATTGAAACCCAGGAGTATCATATATGCTAGTTAGGCAATCAATGGAAGTGTCGTCCTGCCATAGAATTGAATTCAAAACATTCATGCAGTTGTTAACATTTTCCCCTATATCTTTTCAGCAAGTATAAACAGATTACAGTGTCCAGCTGATCAAATAAAGTAATTGACAGAGTAATTTATGGCAGAATACCAGTGTATAGAACATTCTAAGACCTTCCACAAACCACCATACATGGTCTGATTTTCGAAAAAAAAAAAGGACGGATGGAGCAAGGATCATGCTTTAGACAAACCTAGTAGGCGTTGGAGATTCTCTTTTCTTTTTTATACTTCGTCAAAAGCCTAAAACAATGGGGGTCAGAAATGAAGAGGCATGTTTAGCAAACAATTATTTATCAAGAATGACTCAAAAGATACAAGCCAAACGCATTTAGAATTTTAGAGACGAGTGGGAATCGATATTGTACAAATGGGTCAGGAGATCACTGGTCAAGCCTACACATGAGGAGCACTTCAAACGTGGTGGGACTCAGATTCCATGAAAAAAATAATGACAACGGACGTCTCACCAGCCCATCAATGTTCTTCTAACCCTATCTACAATCTGATTTCTTGCTACCATACTTCTTAATTGAAATTTGCAGTATTAGGCAATTTATTTTAAGTTCTATTCCTCTAGACAACCGATGTCTCACCAGCCCATCAAGGTTGACAAACAGCTTAGGCAATTTATTTTAAGTTCTATTCCTCTAGACAGAATGAAGTATCAAGGTAAAAAAAAAACTGCAAACAAGTTGCCTATAGCCAATGCCTGTCCATGCCATTATGCAAGTCTTTTGAGATACTTATCAAACTGCATCATAAACTAATAAGGGACCCCCTGCCACCATTAGGCAAACCAAATAGGTACCTAAGAGTAACCCAACCCAGGAAGTAACAATTTGGGATACTCATCAAAATTAAAATGTCATTGAATAATTTTTATAAAAATAAAGAATTTATACCTTCATATTGCAATCTTTCAAAGTTCTCATCACATCATAAAATAGACCCTTGTGATCCACGCAATTTATCTGAAGCAGTGTATGGGCTGGGCTCAATGAATTGTCTACATTCACATTGGCCTTCTTCAATTTAGTCAAATCTGGGCTAAGAGCTTGTGAATGAATTTTTTTATCTGAGAGCTCTGAACAAAACAGTTCTTCCGCTACAGCAGGAGAAAGAGAAGAGAAACCCTGATGACAATCATTTTCAGGCCCTGCCAACTTTAGTTCACAACTGATACATGACTCACCCAACACAGCATTTAATTGCTTATATGTGTCTTCTTGTCGTTCTTTTGCGTGTAAAAGCTCCCTGGGAAAAAAGTTTGTAACAAAATTGGGATCAATAAGACAGTTATATTAACTATTCATATGATTGCCAAGGAAAATTGGTTGAGCAAATCCTAGAATCTAGACAACACACAGCTCCAATCCAATTTAATGCTGATGTCTCAAAGGACCCTAATCATCAATAGTCAACATTAATATGTCAAGTTTCTGATGAAGAGAAATGTATGATGAGGAATAAATGGCCATAGAGTCCAACTTATGATAGCACTCGACCATGTTATTTCTAGTTTTTCATAAAGGCATGCTTGAAGAATAATAAAGGAAAAGAACCAAGACAAACACAAAGAAAAGCAAAACTAAATAAACATGGAACAAATAGCAACAGTTGAAACATTACAGATTTAAATACCATATATCTTATTGGTTCCAATAACAGTTATTTTATGGGGGTCCAATTCGAGTATCCTCTGGAGACCATACATACCATGATTGGGACTGTCCTGCGACTCCAGCATTGCCTTGAGAGCTAGGATATATTGGGGCAGGTGATGTGTAGTTGTCGCATTGACTGTTATTGTCCGTCTCATTCTGTAGCAATGTCACTCGGGGCCAGGGGTGGGTTATGCCGTCATGGAAGGTGTCCCTGAGGTTGAAAGGGTCAATTAACACTCAATTAACTGAAAGAAAATATTTGATGGTTTAACAATTCATTAATAAAATTAATAATTAGTTAATAAAATTAATAAAATATTATATAATAAGGATTATTTTTTTTAATTTTAATAAATAAAAAATTAAAAATTAAAAATATCATAAAAATTAAAATTTATAAATCTAATAAAATGTGAAGCTAAAAATATTAGATTACGAATTAAAATTTTTGAACTTACAAGATGAATAGTTAAAAATAGGCATTTGCTCAAAAG